TGTGCCCAGACCCGGGCCAGGGGGTCCACAGCGTGCCCAGACCCGGGGGGTCCACAGCGTGCCCAGACCTGGGCCAGGGGGGCCACAGCGTGCCCAGACCCGGGGGGTCCACAGCGTGCCCAGACCCAGGCCAGGGGGTCCACAGTGTGCCCAGGCCAGGGGGGCCACAGTGTGCCCAGACCCAGGGGCACATTAAAGACGAGACCGGCTGGGCACACCAGCGCACACCAGCCATCAACCGTAGCACTGGGGAGGCTGAGGCAGGAGGATGGCAAGTTCACGGTATCCTCAGCAACTCAGTGAGGCCCCATCTCAAACACTAAAGAGGGCTGGGGCAGACTGACTAAAGAAGAAAAATCAGAAATGAGAAAGGAGCGTGATGATTGACACCAAGTCGGAGAAGTAGTGACTTCCCAGAAAGACCAGCTTGCTGGACCCCGAAGAAGCAGAAAGCGTGACAGACCTAGGACACCAGGAGGTCCAGTGGTCCTCGGAACCCAGCCTCAGGGTTACAGGGCAGACGACACATTTAAGGAATCAGCTCCAACCCTTTCAAACTCTTCCCCAAAACTAAAGAGCCAGGGAAACCTCCCCACTCATCCTACGGCCAGCAAACTGCCCGACACCAAAGCCAAGCAGACCAGGAAAGTACAGGCCAGTGTAAGTGGGGCGAGTGGAAAAGTTGGGCACAGTCAGAGGGCTCTGCTGTGACGCAGGGGGACTCACCTGGAATGAAGGAGGGGTCAGTGGACAAAAGTCACTCCAGCAGAATGCAGGGGAGAGGCGAGGGCGGCCCAACCGGTCACTTCAGCGCCCTGCACTGACTAAACGGCCCAGAAGGAAGCGGCTCAGCATAGTCAAGGCCGTAGGAGAAAAGCCCCAACTCACGTCCCTCCACAGTGAAGGGCGGCCACAAGTTCAGGAAGAAGACATCCCTCCTGCCACCTCTGTTCAACACCACACTGGGGTCCACCAAGAAAAAAGGCTCTCGATTGGAAAGAAGTGAACACATCGCTGTACGCAGACGGCATCTTCCAAAACTAGAGGACTCCCCCCCCACAAAAAAAGAAGAAGAAAAATCTGTTTGAAAACTTATTTAAAAGTTTATTTCAAGTTGAGAGCTCCCAGCAACAGCAAGAGACTTCAGGTGCTCGGTTTGAAGAGTGGACAGACCGCGAGGCGGAAGGTCAGGCAGGCATCCGCGGGCTTGGACAAAAAACCAACCCAAACAAAAAACCACCACACGGAGACCAGCCGGGCCGGGCGGTGGCGCAGCCTGCCATCACAGGCGCTCGGGAGGCCGGGGCAGGAGGATCGCGAGTTCAAGGCCAGCCGGGCCATTTAGGGAGATCCTGTCTCAACATAAAAAGGACGGGGTGTGGCTCAGTGGCGGACACACCTGGGTTCAGTCCCCAGTACCACACACCCCGAGTTCAGTCGTCACCGAGGGCCTCCCCGCTGGACGTGGTGACCAGGAGCGGCCCTGCGGTCATGAAGACCCCAGGCTCCCGGGGGGCAGGATTCCCAGCCCAGGACCAGCTCAGGCAGCGGGCAGACTGCCCACCTGGCGGGAGCAGAAGGCTTCCAGGTGGGGAGGACGCAGGTGAATAGAAGGAGGTGGCGGGGAGGTGACGGTGACAGGCCCTGAAGCTCCCGCTCCATCTTTAAACTGTTCCTTAGCAAATGAGGGTGGGACGAAGGTGCGTCTGCTGGGCAGCCAGGGGTCTGCTGGGGACCCTCGGGCGTCAGCCTCGACGGGGGAAGGGACAAGACCACAAGCTCCCCTGCTGACAGTGGCCGTCTAGAGTGTCCACCCCGGGTCTGTGACCCTTTAGTGGACGGGTATGTGCTGCGTCAGTGGGCACCTGGGCCCCCAGGGGCAGGGCTGGCCGTCTCTGACGGTGGGAAGACATCAGGTGGAGGAGCGGGTGTTCTGGAACCATCCCAAGCCTGGGCCGCCCTGTGGCCAGGAGACCCGGCTTTGCCCTGGGAATTGGCCCTGTGGACCCCCTTTCTCCACTGCGTTGGCCCAGGCTGCCCTCCAGCTTGGCCCCCCCTTCAGGTGGGGACCGTGTCTTGTCTTTCCTGGGTCCCCTTTGCTCCTAGGCGGGCCGGACACCGAGGGGACAGACGTTCAGTTCCGCCGGCCTCAGTGGGCCAGCCCCGCACCTGCTGCCCACAACGTCCCACAGAGCAGGCAGCCGCGGACCCACGCCCGCGGCGCTCACAGCATGGGGAGGGGTGACAGGGAGGCTGGGCCACCAGGGGGCCCGTTCCAGGAGCCCACTGCTCCCCACCCAGCACAGCTGGAACCCAGCCCAGACGACTCCAAGCTGCAGAGGTCCACGGTCGGCCTGCACCCCCACCCGGCTCCTCAGCGAGGTCGAGGTTCCTGGCTGGGAGGGACCGACAGCAGCAGACGCCAGGAGGCTCAGAAGCCCCCACACTCCCTGCCCCGGCTTTCAGGGTGCTTCTGAGGACCGTCAGCTCCCGACCCGCCTGGGAAATCCGTCCCTTCCCCAGGAAGCAGCCTGGCAGGGCCCCACCTCCAGGTCCGAGTCCCGCAACCCGGCTTGCCCCACAGCCGTTTCGTGGCCATCCCGGCCACTGCAGGCTGGACAGAAGCTGGGTCCGAGCTGCGCGGTGCTGCTGTCCCCCGTCCACCTGAGTCTCACATGCATGAGGAACCTCGAGGGGAGCTGGGGTCTTGGTCCTTAACCAGAAGCCTGGTTGGGAGCATCCTCCTTGGGGTGGATAATGCCTCAGGGAACACGGGCACCTGGGAACCCAGGCTGCCCGTCCGTAGCGTTCGAGGACTTCTGCTTTCTCTGGGGAGCAGGCCAAGGCTGGCAGAACCCAGGGGTGGTCTGTCGGATGGTGGGGCCGACCGCGCACCCAGAGAAGGGGGGCTCGGGTGGGTGTGAAATCCTTCCCGCCAGCAGGGGGTGCCCGTGAACCCCCTCCCCCCACGGAGCTGCCCCCTCCCCACGGAGCTGCTCTCCTGGTGCCGGGGATGGGACCAGGGCCTTGGGCGTGCGGGGCTGGCCTGCCGCTCCACCAGTGGCTACACCCCAGCCCTACCCCGAGCCTTTGCCAGAGCTGGTGGGGTCCAGAGCAAAGGGCCAGGTGTCCACCAGGAGGAGTGGGCAGTGGAAGGGCAGATGCCCGACTCAGTTGTCCCTGGTCTTCTGCACTCCGACCCTGGTGCACAGCAGCCAAGGACCTCCAGAGTGGACGGAGAGAGGGCAGCGGGTCCTGCCCAGGCCACACCCAGAAGGAGAGGGCGGGGCAGCTGCTCTGACGGACAGCACCTGCCTCTCCAGCTTTCCCCCCGTCCGGGAAGTGCTCGAGTGCCCTGAGAGGCGTTTGGTCCTCCTCGGACCTCAGGACAGTCCATGGGAAGGCTCACTCCATTTAAGGGAAGAGGCAGAGGCTCGAGGAGTCGGGAGACTTACCCAGGTCACGGCAAATGCCCAGGAAGGCACCGACCCAAGCCTGTGGCCCCCCGGCCACCCAGGCCCCCTCACCATGGCTTCTGCGGCAGCCACAGGTCCTCCCACGACCCTGGGAGCGAGAGTCGGGTCCTCGTGTGGGCGTGCGGCCTCCATGAGCTCGTGAGGGACTCCAGGGAGGACGGAAGGGCACCTCACAGTGGCAGGAAGGCACTGGACGCAGCCCCCAACCCCAGGCTTCGGCCTCACGTGCCCAGTTTGCAGTCGCGGACCTGCTGGCCTGTGCACATGGTTAGCGGATCGATCAGCGCTTTCCAGGGCAGCCCCCCACCCCGGCTCTGTCATCACGGATCTCCCAGAGCACAGCCCAGGACACCCACGGGCAGGGAAACAGGTCTCTGCTGTCAAAGCGGGTCCCACAGCACAGCACTGCACACTGGGTGCTGCTGGGGTGGCAGGCAGGGAGTTCTTTTTTAATTCACAGAAAAATGGGGAATGACTTCATCCCAAAGGCCGACCAAGCTGGGCCCGGTGGTTTGAGCCCATGACCCCAGCTCCATGGGAGGCTGGGCAGGAATGGCTCGAGCCCAGGAGTCTGGGAACCCCATCTCAAAGAATAGATAAATATCCACATCTAGAGCAAATAAAAGACAGACACAAGTTTTAAACAAGTTCGAGTCTCCATGAGATGATCCTCTGGCAAAGGATCTGAACAGACAATTCAAAAGAAATGAGATACAGCCGAGGTGCCGACATGTAGGGGAACTCACCGGTGATCAGTGAGTAGAGTGACCATGGCCTCCTCATCCTGCCAGGTCAGCACCTGAGCAAAACCCGGAGCTGGCCAGGCCCCAGCAAGACTACACCACCGAGCTGTGTACACGGGCACTTCAATTAGTGTCGAGAGTCTGAAGACCATTCCTTCCCTTGACTCCAAAGTCCACTCCTAGGACTTTACCCAAAGTGAGGGAGGGTGGGGCGGAAAGAAAAGATCCCCCAAAATTTCAGAATAATTTCACTTTTCAAAATGATGAAAAATGACTAAGAGCCAACTGGGAAGTGGTTTTTTAAAGTTGTGATATATTAATTTGATGCATTATCTTGAACTCATTTGTCAAAAAGTCCAACTTGAAGCAGTGTTTCAACAGGATCAAGCTACAGACAGCACAGAAAAAGGAGGCGAGAAAACCTGCTTGAAGAGTGGCTGCAGCCAGCGCAGTGCTCACACCTGCATCCCAGGGGCTCCGGAGGCTGAGGCGGGAGGATCACAAGTTCAAGTTCATGGTCAGTGAGCGCCTGCCTCAGAAAATATAAAGGGAGCCAGACATGGTGGTGCACACCTGCAGTCCCAGCAGCTCAGGAGGCTGGGCAGGAGGATGGCAAGTTCAAAGCCAGCCTCAGCAACTGAGGGAGGCCCTAAGCAAACTAGACAAACGAGACCCCGTCTCAAAGTTGAAAAATCGTATTAAAAAAAGAGAGAGAGAGAGAGAAAGGCTGGGATGTGGCTCAGGGGTTGAGTGCCTCCGACTTCAGTCCCCAGCACCAAAATAAATAAAGACAACAGTGATTTATTAAAATTGACAAAAGACATCAACCCAGATTCAAAAAGTGAGCAACCCCAAAACAGGATTGATAAAGAATACCCCACCCAGGCACATCGCGATCAGACCAAAGGAACCGGTGAGGGCAGGCAGAGGGCAGAGCACCGCAGAGCCTCTCGAGGAAGCGATGGAGCCCAGTGAGACGAGGGAGGGGAGGGGCCGTCAGCGAGTGAGCGTCCCGCCACGGGGAGCGAGGCCACGGGGTGTGAAGCCGAGGCCAGCCGTGGCAACTTAGCGAGACTCAAAAACCAAAAGGTCAGCTGGGTGTGGTGGCACACCTCTGTGACCCCAGTGGCTCGGGAGGCTGAGGCAGGAGGATCCCAAGTTCAAGCAGCCTCAGCAACTTAGAAGAGGTCCTGAGCAACGTGGCAAGACCCCGTCCCAAAACAGGAGACCTAAAGGGCTGGGGTGCGGCTCAGGGGTAAAGTGCACAAGATAAATACATAAGAAGGTGATGGGAAGCCCTGGGTGTGGCTCGGTGGCAGAAGCCTGCCCAGCACACGTGAGGCCCTGGGTGGGGAAGGAAGCCGTGGGCCGGGTTCCCGCGGGATCAGCGGTGAGGTTTGACAGGGTCTGGGGACACAATCCTACCCCAAACACACACCCTTCAGGTGTGAAGATGACGCTGTCAGTGTCCTCAGAGCTGTGCCCGTCTCCTCGGCCGACTCCAGCACACTCACCCCACAGGGAGCCGGCCGCGTCCTCGCCCCCCAGGCTGCCCTCCGCCCTCCCTGCGGGTTGCCTGCTGGGCCTTCACGTAAGGGAATCGCTCGCGTGGGCCCTCGTCCGTCGTCACCACACAGACTCGGGAGGGGACGTGGGCAGGGGACGTGGGCAGGGGCGCCTTCCCCCGTTGCTGGGAGCCTCAGTGAGTACCACCACAGGGACAGGGCTTAGGCCTGGGGCCACGTGGCCCAGCGGAGCCCTCCTCGGTGGCTATCCTGAGGGTCTAAAGCCGTGTGCGTGCGACAGCGACCACGCGTGCCACGTTTACAGCAGCACATTCACAACAGCCCGTCTCCAGAACCTCCTGGGTGTCCACGGCAGAGGAGGGGACAGGGAACCGTGCAGTACACAGTCACGAAGGAGGGATCGCGTCATTCGCAGCAGAGCGCTGGGACTGCAGACCGTGATATTAAGAAAATGGAGGTGAGAGGGGAAAAAGGAAAAGGGGGTGTGGGGTGTGGGGTGGGGGGAGGTCTCATGAAAATCGAGGGGAAATCAGTAGAGGAAAGGGGCAGGAGGGGAGGGAGGGAAATACCGGGGCCAGACTCTACAGTGCCCCAGGCCCGCGAGGCCCGCGTCCCCCCTTACGCACATTCCTGTGGCGGTTCCGGGCCTCACCCCCATCAGCACCTCCTTTCCCTCCCTGTGGCCAGATCCACCACACAACACACTCTTCTGAGATGAACCGGGTGTTGTGATCCTCGAAGAGCACCAAAGAAAACAGCGCAGCCCAGAGGGTGACCAGAAGCCACAGAGACAGATAGGGGACGAGGGGCCGGAGGTGATGAAGTGTCCTGGGGCTGGTGGTGACATCTGTGAAGCCCACGAGTAGAGGGTACAGTGAGTTTACACCCTCAAGGGCTGTGCTTCACGGTGTGTGAATCACACTGACTCGTGGGAGAAGGAGAGCACAACCATATTTTGGCTTTGTCATCCGCCACCCAGCCACCCGCCGGGACCAAAGCTTCCTACCCCAGGATCGGAGCTCCTGCTGGTTCTGGAATCGGTGCCAGTGCTGGCAGGCAAAGCGCAAAGGAGCCCAGTACAGGGGGAAGGAGCAGAGAGTGGTGCACACCCGTCATCCTAGCCACCTGGGAGGCTGAGGCAGGAGGATCGCAAGTTGGCCAGCCTCAGCCACTTAGCAAGACCCTGCCTCAAAGTTGAGGAATAAATAAACTTTAAAAGGACTGGGGTGCCGCGCAGTGGTGAAGCAGTCCTGGTCCCGTCCCCAGTACCACAACCAGATGGGGATGGAGAGGAGTCCCGCATCACCTGACCTCCTGTGCTCCAGAGCTGACTGCACCCAGCAACATCTGGGTGGGAACAGGAGGGCACCCATTTCTCTTTCACCAATGATCTGTGTAAGCCAAACTGTGCACACCGCGCTTTCCCTACAGCCCAATCCATTCTCTCCAGATAAGCACTGCTCTCCAGGGCGGGGTGTGGCGCGGTGGTAGCGGGCTTGCCTAGCCGTGGGCGGCCCTGGGTCAGGGTCAGGGTCAGGGTTAGCGCCTCACAAATGAATGAATAGAGGTCCATCAGTAACTCTTAAAATTGAAGAAAGCCTGCTCCCAGCTGTGGGCGGTCCTCTGGGACAGCTTACTTTGGGAAGTCAAGGTCCCCACCAAGGGTCAGCAGGAAGACCAGGCTGAAGTTCAAAGGCAGAGAGAACAAGGAGAAGACTCTTGCCCCTGGTGAGCTCAGCCAGGTCACCCTGAAGGTCACCGCTCAGGCAGCTCCCTCCAAGTGACAAAGGACACCTGATCCACACCAGAGAGAGACCCGGAAACGTTGCCTTGGGCAGTGGCAGTGCTGATCACCTGGGGTCCTGGGCTTCACTCTGAACCCGGGACAGGGGATCAAGTCGGGGGACAAGCTTGGGGACCTCCTCCTACAGGATCTGCTTCCTGGAGCGTCTGTCACGGCCTGTCACAGCGCCCACACCTCAGCCCAGGTCAGAGCTCGCAGCTCACTCCTCAGCCCCGCCCAGGCCAGCTGCCCGCCTCGCGCTCTCCCCTGACCGGCCCGTCTCACTCGGGGCCTGTGCCCAGGAGGACCTCACGCTGCATCCTTGCAGGACCCGGCCGCCATCGCCGCCTTCGCCGCCTTGCACCTGGGTTTGGAGCAGGTCTCCATGTTGGGCTGGCCCTGTAAGGACACCCCTGCTTCAGAGCCCCTCATGCCGGTCCCCAGGTGGCCGGAGCAGTTCAGGGTCTCCACAAAACCAGGGACTGGACGCCACCCAGCCACGGAGCCTCGTGCATGGCTCTAGGATGACCAGGCGCGAGCCTCTTCCTCCCAGCGGACCCTGCCACGGCCTGGCACCACCCTGGCTGCCTCAGCACCGGCACCCCTCTCCTCCCGAGCAGGCCCACGTCCTGCGATTCCTTAGACCTCTGTCCCTCTAGGAGGCCAGGCCACCGAAGACCGCCGTGCTAAGCAGTCCAAGACCTGACAGTGCTCCTCGACCCCTCAGAGCACCTCCCGGGAGTGAGCGCTGCTGCGTTTCAGGAGGGCTGGTGGCCCCTAGCAGCGGGCCAGCTGAGCCTCGGTGGCCCTGGTGGTTCAAGGCCACCAGCCAGTCAGGCACCCTGGCTGCCAAGCAGCCCAGCCAACGGCCCGGCCACTCCCAGCTCCACCGGGGATCCAAGGGCCTCCTTTCGCGTGAAGCCTCTTTGGGGTCTCAGGAAGGAAGTGGAGAGCGCGAGAGGAAACCCTGACCTCAGAGCTCCAAGAGCAGGCTCACCTCTTGGTCCCCGGGTGGTGGGGGGTCCAAGCCCGGCACTTCATCTCCAGGCAGGGACCTGGGGGTGCTCCCACAGCCCAGAGAGCCGGAGCCGGGGCTGTTCTGCAGAGCCCCGGCCAGAGGCGCCAGGGCACAGCAGGAGCCTCGCTGCCGCCCAGAGCGGCCTCCCAAGGATGCTGGCGGGGCCGAGGCCACCAGAGCTTCTGCCCCAGGAAGGGGATGGAAGACGGGGCCATCCACGTCCACCCCTGAGAAGGGCAGGCGGGGGTAGAGCCCGGCGCAGAGGCCCAGGGCCAGGGCGTCCCCGCTGCCAGCAGGTCCCTTTTCCGGCCTGAGCCCAAAGCGCCTCCAGAACCTCTGGCAGACTTCAATCCAGGACAAATGCTCGCCACCGCGACCCTCCCTGGGCCCAGCCAGGAGAGGTCCTTGGAGGCAGGCCCTGTGTCACCTGGCGACCACCTGGGGCTGACCAGGAACAGTGGAGGCGGAGGGAGGCGGAGGGAGGCGGCGGGAGGCGGCGGGAGGCGGCGGGAGGCGGCGGGAGGCGGCGGGAGGCGGCGGGAGGCGGAGGTCGGGTGGCAGTAAAGAGGATGAAGTCGAGGAGGAGGAACATGTTTTTCCAATTAGTCACAAACCACCCAAGCGGAGCTTCTCAAAACTGGCCAGTGGTTTCCCCATTACCAAAAATTCCTCTCCCTTTCTTTCTCCATAAAGAATTTCACCAGGTTTTTCAAGCGGCTTTGGCACTAACAGGCCATACGCACAGAATACACAGAATGCCCCCGGCCCACGCCCCGTCCAGCCGGCCGGCCAGGGGGCTGGGCTCCACTGCTCTCCTGCCAGGCCTGATTCGGAGGGAGCAGGGGACGGGGTGGGGGCGGGGCGGGGGCAGGGTGGGGGTGGGTTAGGGGGGCCTCCCCGAGTCCCCTCCCCAGGCTCGCGCCCTGTCCTCAGCAGCAGAGCGCACATTTTACAAGGCCCCTCCCATGGCTCTTCTGGGCCAAGTTGGGGAGACCAGGACCCTGGGCCAGCGGTCACTCTCCTTAAAGGCCACACCAGCAGCCGGGAAGGCAGAGGACGCGGAGAAGCAGGGAAAGGCCGTCCTTAGGCCTACACACAAAGCAGGGTAGCTGGGTCCGAGAGCAGGAGTGCAGTGGCAGCCACTGTGTCCACGCGGGACGGGAGAACAAGACGGGGCGGGGGAACCGAGCCTCAGAGGCCTGTGCTGTGCCTGGACCCACCTGCGGGCTGCCCCACCTGGCAGGTCCCTGTGAAGGCCAACTTCCAAGACACCCTCCACCCAGAGACCCCCACCCTGAGGAGACGCCAGGCCAGAACCCAAGCCCTTGACCCTACGTGATGAGGTGGGGTCTCTCCTTTATGCTTCCCACCTGGGCCCAGAGGGCAGGCAGGACCGCAGACGGGCAGCCCGGGAGGTTCCAGTTATTCCCGCTGTGAGGAGACGGAGCTGGGCACTGCGACCTCGCTCTGCAACCCCCAGGACACCGGCTTCTTCCCGGGCCTCCTGGAGAGGGCTCCGCCCAGCGAGGCCTTGGGCAGACAGCCCAGGCCCCCGGCTGTCGGTGCAGTTCGTCATTCACACGAGGTCTCTGCCACTGGTCTCACGTGCCAGTACCTACTGCGGTCGCAGTGTCCTCACATGCGGTCACCTCAGGCTTCCAAGGGACCCCTGGAGTACTGTCCCTACAAGGGCCAGGTGAGTGGTCAGAGGACTGATCTTGGAACGAGAAGATGGCAAGTCCCAGCCGCCAGGCCTCAGGCTCTGACCCAGGTGCAGGACTCCCCTGCTGCCCTCTGGGCTGAGCAGGCCAAGTCTATCCTGGTCACCTGGCGGAGGCAGGCTGTCAGGTCTCCCCACCCAGGGTCACTCTGTCGCCCCTCTCCACGGCCCACCCCAGGCAGCGGCAGAAGGCACCCTGGAGCGCACTGAACAATTCTGGCCACACCAGCCCCATTTCAAGCACTACACCCCGCAAGGCCAGCAGCCACCCTGTCGGCACAGCTGTTCCAGGATGGCAGGCAACGCCATCCGCCCGCGACATGCCGGTCCCTCTGGTACCAGCCATTAGTATCTTTAAATAGACTCACCTGAGGAGGCGGCCGGTCTCGCTCCAGTAGCCCACCCTGTCCACGGTGGCTGGGACCGGTGGCCTCCTCTGAGGCCTGTGGGGTGAGTGACCGCCCTGCACCTTAGGACTGCAGGGTCCCTCCGGGGGGCTGCGGCTCAGTAGCTCCATCCTGACTGACTCTTAAATGCCCGGCTCTGCAGGCCCACGTGGGTGCCAGGGAGAGATGGCGCAGGCCAGGTGAGCTGGTAAACCAGCTGCCTCTGATGATCCCGGGCAACGTGAGAAAGTCCTGAGGCCTCGGCACGCAAGGGGCCCAAACGCACTCGGACAGGCACCTGAGTATGCTCAGGATGGGTGGTGCCTCGCCGGGTGCAGACCATGAGGGCCGGGTGACATTTTTGGACGTGGAGCTGCTGCTGCAGTGGGCGAGGGGCTTGGCGACCTTAGATGGACGGACATCTGGGGCGGGAGGGCAGGCGGGGTGGGCAGGAGGCCCTGAGCCCGGACCTGTGAGTGTTGCTGCAGGAGCAAGGATTTTGCAGGTTTAATTAAATAAAGAGCCTCAGGATGGGGGAGTAGGCCAGAGAAGACCCACCCAGCGCGGGGTGCAACCTTGCATCTGTTCCCTGGGTGTGTCCCAGGCTGGGACCGGCAGGCGCTCAGGAGCGCGGTGACCAAAGGCCCACAGAGCCAACGTGCTTCCTGGCACTTGCTCAGACCACCTGGATTCTGGTCAGCAGCTTTGGGGACAGTGACCTGACCTCTCAGACCCCATCATCCTCACTCGAGGCCACCCAGTCACAGGGCAGATGGGGGCCCGTGTCAGGCCCACTGACACCCTCTGTCCCCAACCCAGCCACCTGCCCCCTCCTGGTTTTCCCACAGGGAGCCAGATCCCAGGGTGCGGAGCTGTCAACTCTCAGGCCCCGCTTTGTGGCTTGGTATTCTGTCAGGGGCTGCCGTCCCACTTCCGAGGGCTCGGGCCAGCCACAGGGGTCGGGTGCAGGACCGACCAGCAGGGGGTGCTGGTGGTTCAAGACAGCCAGCCCCAGCCGTTCCCGGAGGACTCCCATCTCTGTGACACTCAACCCTCCTGGGGGCTCCGCGGCCTTCCCTCCCGCCCGGTGCTTCCCAGCAGCCCCACACTCTGGCCACCCGCAGGCCCTCGCCAACCGCCAAACTGCCCAACCGCCCGGGGTGCTAGATTCCAAAGGACTGAGGGGCTCACCTTCCAGCCCCACCAGCCAGGCTGCCTTTACTGACGGGCGGGAATGTCATGCTGGGCAGGGGTGCAGGGACGAATCAGGCACAGCCCTGTCCCTGGGGCCTCCGACAGAGACCCCAGATGGGTCCCATGATTTCAGAACGAGCGTGCCAACCCACAGAGACCCCTACTCAGAGGGGTGTCTACTCCAGTCCCCAAGAACCCGTCAGCAGCCTCCCGCGAAGGAAGCTGACCTCCAGGCCGAGGCCAGACAGGAGGGGCAGGACCAGGTGGGCCTCGAGGCCTGGCCCTCTGCCCTCCTCAGCCCGAGCAGGTTGGGGCCCTGGTGGTGCCCTTCTTCCTGGGCTCCAGGACGCCGCTACATGCTCATAAAGAAGATGCCCCGGGCTGGGACACAGCTCAGATGGCACCAGCCCTGGGTTCAGTCCCCAGCACCACACACACACACACACACACACACACACACACACACACGCAGCATTCTCTGCCCTGACACCTGAGATTTAGCAATACCACCCATGGGTGACCTGACAGGTCTCCTGCTGCGACCCTGGAATCTGGTCCTTTTCCCTTGATCAATGGATCAGACACAGACCCATGGGGAGAAAGGCCCAGCATTTCCCGGGCCGTGGCCTCCGCTTCTGCCTCACCTGACGCGGAAGCCTTTTGCGGTAAGGCTTCGGCTTTACAGGAACATGCAACAGAAAGAATAGGAACTCAGGGGCTCCGACCAGCTCCATGAGGGTTTCCTATTGTTTTGTCATGTTAAGCAGTTCCAAGAAAAGTGAAGTCACAGCCGGCTGCTCCTTTTCAGTTCTTAGAACAGAGCTGATTTCAAAAGGGAAGCTGTGCGGCCCTCGCACACGCCCAGGGCTCCTGAGCTGGCTTTGATTTGGCACCCAAAACTGAAGCCTCCGGATGCGTTTTCATCTGGTGATATCAAGGAGGAAACGTCCTGTTGAGAGACTGCACAGCGCGGCTGTTGCGCCCAGCGGGCCGCCACCAGCCCTGGGGCCACCAGCTGTTTGGGGGACAGTTGGAAAAGACAGAACCCTCCTTCCTCCACCCCACACTCTCAGCTACAGTGCCCAGGCATCGGTGCCACCCACCAGCACGTTCTCATTGGGGGTTGGCACTGCAGGTCAGGTGGCGACCAGGGCAGGACGCGGCTCAGGAGGTTCTCAGCAGCTCGGCCACTTTTCTAGCAGAAAAGCAGGTTTCAGATAAGGAGGAACACGGCGGGCGGGCTGCAGGGGAGGGCCACTGTGGGTGAAAACCAGGAGTTCTGTGACCAAGATCTACTCAGTCACATCTCTGGCTGGGTGCAGTGGCGCCTGCCAAGTCACCTGCCATCCCAGCAACTCGGGAGGTCAAGGCGGGAGGATCACAAGGTCGAGGTCTCAGACACTTAGTGAGATCCTGTGACACAGTAAGAAATAAAAAGAACTGGGTTGTGGCTCAGTGGTACGGTGCCCTGGGTTGGATCCTCAGTACCAGACTAACAACACAGACGTGTGCGTACCCACACCTACACATGTGTGCATTTCTGGCTGGGAGTCTAGCTTCATGGGAGAGCACTTACTTCCCTACTAAGTGTGCGGCCCTGGCCGTAATGACGATAACAGCACTGCACCTAATAATAAAACCCAAAGGGAGCCAAAGCAATCCAGTGCTCAGGCAGGGAAACCTAGGAGTCACAATGACCAGATGCAACGTGTGTCCTGGTGGGGCTCTGGGAACACTGAGGCAGGAGGATCGAGAGTTCAAAGCCAGCTTCAGAGACTTAGGGGCTAAGCCACTCAGTGAGACCTGTCTGTCGATAAAATATATATATGTTGAAAGAAAAAGGGAGCAGGGGCTGCGGCTGAGTGCTTAGGTACCCCAGGTTCAATCCTGGAACCAAAAATAAAACAAAATAAGATGTTAGGAAAAAAAATCTGAATAAACTATATCCTTAAGATTAAAAGCATGTCAACCCGGGTCATTAATTATAATGATGTGCCACACTTAATGAGATGTTAATGAGGAAAGCTAGATGCAGAAATATAGAAACTCTGTACAATTTTTGCAATTTTTCTGTAGATCTAAGTTTCTTTTTAAAAATGCACACACATGGCTGGGGCTGGGTGGCAGGGCACTTGCCTTGCACACGTGAGGCACTGGGTGTGATCCTCAGCACCACGTAAAATACTAA